TAAATGGTTTTAAAGAAATGGTAAAGGTGTAATTACCATTAATTAGTGAGCACAAAAGATAGAATGTGGTTAAGACCATAATAAAACAAGAGATTGCTTTGTATACAGAAATTAGGCTGGAATCATAGGGTTGCTTAATTCTGATTTTTTTTGCTATCCGAAAAGTCGGTCATTTAGCAAAATTTCTATTGAGTAATCCAAGAATTATTAATTTTAATCTAAAAATGATTGGATTTGTTCTGCTTTTTAGAGTAATTATCTTTTTAATAAATTTATTCATAAAATCTAGGTCGTTATAACCGAAATTTGTCGAAACTTGAACAGAAAACCTTTCAAATAATAATTTATTTATCCAATTTCTTATATTAAGTGAGGTGAAACAAACTAACTCATTGTTCTACTGAATTTTGTTTACAAACTAATTCTCTGGATTAAGATATAAAATATATAATAACAATAAATATACGGACAAATAATCATACACCACTTTCATATAAATGTAGATCAAATGCGTGTTATGATGTAAAGTAGCATCATTTAAATTATGAATAAGGAAAAACAACACAGTGAAACACTCGAAAATGAAATCAGGTCAGTAAATTAACAATGTTGCCTCCTGGAACTGATCATATTTAAGGTCAAATTATCAAACCAATCTCATTGTATGAATATATATATATATATATGCACGCGCATACAACGATAATGAAAATTGGTGGACACTTATTTATAGACACTTCAACACATCAAAAACAATATGAAAAAGAGAAAGACGTAGCATAAGGAAAAGATAGAAAGACGACATATCAACATTTAGTTCTTATTGGAATGGAAACATCTGAAAAGTGTAGTGTGTGTGTGACTTTAGACGATGCAACAAATGTCAAGTATATTTATTAATAAAATCTAATGCATCGATCTATACAATAAATTAGTAGGAAGAAATAAATTTTAAAAGGAAAAATATGAAGACCAATTTTGTCGTGCAGTATTAATCATAATATGATAAAGTGATCTACGTCATCTAAATTGAACAAGTTATTTACGTGATAAATGAAAATTAATCACATTTGTTTCATGATAAATTCTTTGAAAATTAAAAAATAAAGGGTTTAGCAACGAATTTGTTTTTATCAGAAGTGGGTTTTGTGGAGATTTTAGTAATTTTATATAGTTGAGATCATGATTCAATTGAAGCTAGACCACTATGGAAAACCTGTAAGCACTGGACGGCCGTTTCGTCTTATTGTGGGACTCCTCAGCATTAACCAGTGGAGTTCAACCAGGTCTGTTGGGAGATATGAATTCACTGAAGACATTGGAGAATGGTTGCTCAATTTCTTGGATTGGTTGAAGTTGGACATTAACACCGTTGAATGCCGGCCAGCTCAGTGGTCTAGAGGTTAAGTGCTCTGGAGCGAGACTGGTAGGTCCTGGGTTTGGATCTCTCAAGGTGGGGTCATCGATGCGCACTGCTGAGGAGTTCCAAAATAGAACGAAACGGCCGTCCAGTGCTTCCAGGTTTTCCATGGTGGTCTAGCTTCACTTTGTTTTTAGACAAATTTATCCTTCACACTGTACATTCGTAATTGTATAACGTTTTCCTCCAAAAATGATATAGATATGTTTCCTAATAGTGACAGTTATTTACTGATCATACCAACAGAGGGACGAAATAAAAAGCTGAAAAATTGTTTTCTTTAGTAATGAATTGAAAATGTAGTTGTCAAGAGTTTAAATGTACACTAATAAGATGAATTAACAAAAAGAATTGGGGAAAATGAGAAGACATAATGATTAGTCTAAAATGAAACTGAATCAGAAAGGACGTGTAAACAGAAATCCACTAATTCTAGATAGAAAATCAGTAGAAAAAGAGAGGGGAAAAGGTAATGGCTCTAGAAGACTTTTATAGAAAAAGAGGTTGAATAAGTTTCTGTGGCTTATACAATCCTAACGTTTTTGAATGTATTGTATAAATGTATCACTTTGTTATATAAAATGTCTATTTTCTTGTTCGATAACTGCCTTACAATATACGTTAATTGAAGTATAAATACTGATTCTTTGGATTCGTGAACAATTTTCACTAAACCACATCGTAGCAAGTCGGAAAACCGACCGTGCAGATTGCAAATTATCCGATTATTTATCTGGTTTAACAAGCTGGTAAGTCGCGATAATTATCTTATGCTAAGAGATAAATACATCAGCAACAGCCTTTTATGGGAGAGGACAAACCAGCCTCAAGCTGAAGAGGAATTTAGGAAAAGACATTGGAAGTGGATTGAACATACATTAAGGAAATCATCAAACTGCATCAAGAGACAAGCCCTAACATGAAATCCTGAAGGGAAGCGGAAAAGAGGAAGGCCAAAGAACGCACTACGTTGGGAGATAGAAGCAGATATGATAGGGATGAACAACAAATGGAAAAAACTTGAAAGGATAGCCCAAGACAGGGTTAGATGAAGAAGGCTGGTGGGCGGTCTATGCTCCTCCACGACGGGTAACAGGCGTAAGTAAGTAGGAGAAAAATAGAGTAGCAAAGCATTCTCCATCATTTTATTCTACAAAATTTGACATATGAAAAATGAATTCGTATAAATATTTGACGCCACACATTGGTTTGTTTACAACCTCACACTCATAAACCTACTGAGTACACGATAATATTTTCAATTATTTGTCACTCAGGAAGATGGCTTGAACACAGCAACTTGATCAGTTTAATTATAAAACACATTCAGCAGAGAGAAGCAGCTTAATACATAATATTAAAGAAACAATACATTTATTCAATCAACTTGGTGTATCCAAGAATCATTGATAAAAAAGATCCAATATATTACTTTTGTAGTTTTGTCATAATAGAACTTTTAGGTCAATAACACCACTTGTATCATAAATATACTAAAAATTATGCCTCAAAATAGGAGTATGTTGTTGAAAAAATGTATTCGTATTAAAATTTGAGTCATTCAACAAAATGAGGTTGATGAAAAAGAGGTTAAATAACCGTGAGTTAAAAAGCTTGTAAAATCTTGTAAGAATGATCTTCAGAACCTTTTTCGGATTCAGTAGAAATGCGAGTAATTGAGGCTGCCTCCTGATTTAGGGTAGTAGAATTTCAGATATCAGATTTAACCTCTTTTTTGTGAAACAAAACTGGTAACTAGTAGTTACAATATCACGTACGATTCTAAGTGTTCTTACGTATGAATGAGAGAAAGGAACTTTATTTATATTTTCATCACATTAAATATATAATAATGTTGCAAAATACTTCAGTTTAAATAAAAGGGGAGTGGTTGGTTAACATTTTATTTGTATCACTTAAGATAGCCTGTAGTGATAGGGTGGACTACTGATATAAAAATGATAAAAGAAAATCACGTTTGTTAGTGAATCGCCTACACAAAATAATTGTTAAATGATTTTCAATAGTATGAAAAAAATAAAAAAAAACAACTTTAGTAATTAAAATAATAAAATTTATACAGTTCTTTGAAGTAGTTAATTTTATTCACTTTTGAATATTTTCATTGTGATAATGATGTAAAACATGTACTCTAATCTGGATCCATATATACTACGTCCAGTGAATAAATAGAGGTCATAAAAAAATAACTTAATGAATTGTTTTTATCCTCAATGAACTACACGTGATTTCTGGAAAAAAAGATAACCAGTCTCTTTTTCCAATGCTTAAGACATATGTGCATTTTTACATATGTCTGGTTATCCCGGCACCTTGCCTTTACAAGTATATCTATATATACCTAAATCAGTCCATACTAAATCATTGGGATTGAAAAAAGGACTGCACGTGTCTTATATTTTTGTGGAAATGGTACATCGAAGGTAGTTTTGACCCTTTATCAGACTTAGAATCATCATGTAATTCACCGTTACACGATATTTACATCGAAAGTACTTCTACCTTTAATTTATTATCTCGGTGATTACCTTACAACATTTTATGGGTTGTTTTCTAGTTCCATCACAAGCGTCACTAGTTCAGTTAGCGTAATTATTTGGCTAGTTCATGTAAAAACTATAGTGAATCTAGTAAATAAACGTCCTGTTTCATTGTCCAATGTGGCCACTATGTGACATCAACAGTAAAGTACTGTATATCAAATATGGAAGTTTTTAAATTTGATATCGGATATTTAATAACAGTCATTTGTTTGAAGAGTTCTCCAATGAGATTTTTTACTGCGTTTCATTGAAATGTATACAGCTCTTTATACGTAGAAAAACAAAGTAATATATGCTCAAAATATTTTATGTATATGTGATAATTAAGCAAATGAAGCGGTTATCTTACAAAGACTTCACTAAGAGCTAAAAAGCTGATTTTAATTGAGTTGACTTGGAAAAACACGTAGTACCACAAACTGGTACACAAAACATATTACCTGTTTCGGAGTACAAATAACCTTTGAATTCATAAAATTATGTGTAGTGTTCTACGTATTTAATATATGTGAACGTACTGATAAAGTTAGACAATTTATCAAGTCATTTATTCACAGAAAACAAGAGACATATATGTCTTCCTGTAATATTGAGTCACTGTAGATACATTTTCACTGTATTACTGATTTATCAAAGACAAATACAGAGCGTTTTGTATCCAGTAACTGTAAATTGCCTGATATAAGCTATATTCTACACAAATACAACACGACTCACTGACAAAGAAGACCGAAGAAAAATGAGTACCAGTTAGATTATGTTTACAAACTATGTTTACAAAACTATTCATAAAATGTAATTCATATCTAAATATGATAGTTACATTGTAACAAAAATAAATGTTAATAATTAGAATAAACACAAAACAGAGTAAACGTTTATTCTCAGTATTTTATTAAACATTCACAATGTAAAAATATTGATTGCAGAATGAAACAATTGACTGAAAATCTATTGAAAGTTATCTGTACTAAACATATATTTTTTATATAACAATAGTAGTAGTAAACACTTACCAGTTAACGATTGTAAACCAGCTCCAATTGTTGATAAACATGATCCGATTAGAATAACCCAAAAATGTGGCCATGCAAATGCAGCGACCAACAATATACCACCATAACTTTCACCAAATCTGTTAAAGTTTTGTTTTTTAAATAAATATTATGATAAGGTTAAAAGGATGAAAACATTTTTTGCAATATAAATAAACCCTAGTAAACTTTGATCAGAATTTAAAGAACAATGTATACTCATAAATACACGAAAAGTTGAGAAAAAGTTACTTGATATAACTTTCGATTCAGGTCATAAATTTATAAATTTATAAATACTTTTTTGCAATATTTAAAACAATCAATCCCTTTGACAGAGTCGAATAGTGTAGACAAAAATTGTTAGTAATACATGTAATACATTTCAAACAATCAGATCACATATGTGCTAGTAAGAATTATTTATATATGGAAAATAAAAGCTTGACAAGACAAATTTAAAGTTGAGAAGAAACAAACAATAAAAAAAAACCGTGAAACACCACCCTGGATAATAAATACATATCACCAAGTTACATTTAAGATAAGAGCGTAAACGTTTGGATTTTCGAATGCTCAAGGTTAGAACAAACCTTAGAATACACCCTAGAAAACTTTTGTATATAACTACGAAGGCTGAGTTAAGATTGATGCAGGTACAGGTTAAGAGAGATGCAGGTACATCCAGCTGACGAGTCCCAAATAGGACGAAACGCGCGTCCTCCATTCCACTGCTAGCCACTATCCATCTTCGCTTACCATGCTTGTGAATTGAGGCTATATCGAGGCAATACGCACAGTATGCACATATGCCAATTACAGACTGACCAGTTGCTGTCCTAACAAATCGATGGGAAGATTCAAACAAACAATATTAAGTTGAATATATAGTTTGTTTACCATCAAGCGCATATTAATCATTTTGTTTATCAAAAGCAGGATCACAAGTGAAAAGATTTTTTTAAACCTTTGAAATGTATGTAAAACATGGGACGTCAACTACGAGTTGTGATGTTAAAACATTAGAATTAATTTTCTGTTGGAATAAAGCTACGTATCATATAAACAATGTTTTACCTCCAAATGGTTTATTTTTGTTTCTATGAATCTCCTAATTGCTTATCATCTCAAATTTAACATTTTATCTTATCATACTGAGCTTTCCTTTCCCAATTATAATTTCCTTATCTATCTTCATGACGAATAATCAAGACCTTACCAATAAAATTATTATTAGTTTCCGTGATGAAAATAACGTTTTAATGTCATTGCTTACTCTACCACACTGTTAGCATGTTTAGCAAAATTTTATTATCACCATTATTGTTTGTATTATTATCCTGAAAAATAAGTATATATTTGTGGTTGTACAGCTTTGAAAATGAATTCCACTCAAAAAAAGAACTGTTCGCCGAATCAATCTTTGTTATGAACAAGGTTGACAAAGATAAGGTACAAAACAGTTTTTAATAAGCAGCTTCCCAAGGGTAGCTTGTTGTATTCCAACTTCTCCGGTAAGGCTATTTTGATTAGCGAATATAAACAGCGCGTTTAATGTCAATCTTTTCATACATCATCTATTTTGCTTATTGGTAAACAGTAGTCAATTGAGGAAATAAACAATGCAGAAATCTTTAGTATTGTATTGATAGCTAGACGCGAAAAATGTTCATTATGCTGTAAAAAAACACTAACAATACATTCGTCTTTTTCTATTTTTGCATGATTATTTATAAATAGCATTGGAATGTTTATTCAAATAATCGTTCTCAATGTATCGATTACTTTTGTAAGTTCCACTTAAGTGAAAACAATCAGTTACATTTAAACTTGTCACCTGATGCGATGTATTTGCAAAATGTAATCAAACACCAAGATGTGCATAGGTTAGTCATCAAATAGAGGTTTCCATTCTTAAAAGAACTAATGACAGTAGATGATTTTCACGAAAAACTATTGTATATATTCACAGTATTAGACATTAAATACCATTTGAAGGCTTCGGTGGTATATTTCAAGTGTCAGTATAAGGATTATTTTTATATTCTAACTATTGTCGATTCCTTACACTATAGGATGTCAGCAGTAGTTTTCGAAAAATATCTTTTTTGCACTTGTAGTTTTCAGATTTTTATCGAGATGTTTTACTTCATAACCTTTCGGCAGCAACGTATCTTCATACTAGATACAGATGTAAAAGGAATGAACCCTAATGGTGAATGTATTTGTTGAACTCTGTTTCTACAATGACCTGAAACAAGTATTCAGCGAAAGTAGTTGGTTAATATGAAACTAAACTTCATGTTAATTGTTTAAAGTTGTGGTGTATGCCATTTATTTCGTTAGAAATAAGTAGTATGTTACAACAAACGAAAGTGGAAACCCTGATAGCAGAACGCTAAGACCAATTTGAAGAGAATCAACACAGAAATAGAAAGATAGTGCAAATAGGAGGAATTATACAGAATATGAAGGACAAATGATGGAAATTTGCAAATGAAGTGTTTAGTGTATAGTCCTCATATTTTACCAAGACATTCTGTAATTTAGTGTTCTCGTTTATTACAAAATGACTGGAGTCGCAGTTATAATTACCACATCTTTGACTGAAACAGACATTGAAGATTACAGAATTACATTTATCACCAAAATTAGAACACATCAATAATCGGAAGACTACTACAAAAGTCATAAGATTTCTGAAAAACAATTGACTTTAAAATTTACGCCAGCACATACTTTTTATCGACTGACCGATCATAAATAAAACTTATGCAGATATAAATTGGATTTTTAAATAATTTTTAAGGTACATCAGATAATACCCGGATCAGATTATTACTTCTTGAATATTTACAAAATTTAACCATATCATGTAGCTAACATGAGTATTGTTTGCTAACGAGATTTTTGTTGTAAATAGAAGTAAACTTAATTCAACAGAAATACTCAATCAGTATTACACAAAAAGAATTTTGATGATAAGACAAAAATGTATGGAAAAAAGAGACTCACTTATCTCTCATAACAGAGCCATCACAGATCGCAGCAAACAATAAAGGTGATGATAAATCTTGTCAGTCGAAGTGTTGTGATAAAGAGACGTACAACAATTAGACATCATTGTTGTTAAAGTAAAAATATTAGTTCAATAAAATGTGGAGAAGTTAAGGAGTGATTTATCAAATGAATTCTATGCAATTAAAAATGTAAAAGAAAAATGATCTTATAAAAATGATCTCGAATACCTGTTATGTTCATAAATAACTTAAAGTTACACATATTTCTTATTGTTTCATTATAGGAATCGCATAGAACAAGACAAAACAAATAAAAGAACTATGGCAACACGTCAATTTTCGCGCATGCATTACGTATGATAGTGATATATGTAAAAACATTATGGTATAAAAGAATGGTAGATGGATGCTCTTCGTTTATCAAACGTCGCCTACGGCAAAATTTATAACAAACAACCATATATATATATATATATATATATATATATATATATATATATATATATATATATGGTTAAACCTACTGTTATTGAAAACAATATAATCAATAAAGTTGGTAAATATAAACTTATGTTAGAAATTGTTTATTACATGAGAACTCTTTTATTGCTTGAAAACCAGTTCTTTACTTCTACGTTTGATAGAAAATAAGGAAAGTTAATAAGAAAACATTTAAATCAACAGAAAAAGACATAGAATTGATTTTACACTACTCTACTTTTTCAGGCTTTACTCTAATATACATGAATATTTATATAAAAATGTTAGACCAATCAAGGCTATTTGAGTCAATAATAATCACAATGAAATAGAAATACGTGATTATTATTGACTCAAATAGCCTTGATTGGTCTAACATTTTTATATAAATATTCATGTATATTAGAGTAAAGCCTGATGACGATCTAATTGAAAACAATTGTTCGCTTACATATGTTGTTCTAATTTTCACAATGGGAATCTTTAATACTCTACTTTTGATGGCAATCAATTCAATTTGCCTCGATGAAACTCAATTAAAAGCTTTAGTTATTCCCATGTTAGTGTGATGCATAAAATAGAACTTATTGAAAGTGAAGTGTAAATACAATTAAGGAAAAAAACCCATTAATAACAATATGATAATCGATAGATTTCAGTCGGGACTAAGAACCTAGACTAAGTGTACTGATGAATATTCATTGAACATTTTCTTTACAAGTAATCCATATTTGACACTCAACAACTTGAGCATTAATGTTAATCTTCATGGTGTTGACTAATTAAAATATAAATAAAGAATCCTTTCGATGCAGAATTGACTTGTAGATAAACAGAAAGAAAATATCAGAAAGGGGTTTTTGTGGATATTATAGTAATTTAATAGTTGAGATCATGAGTCAACTGAAGCTAGACCACAATGAAAAACTTGAATGCACTGGATGACCGTTTCGTTTTATTGTGAGACTCTTCAGCAATGCGCACCTACGATCCCGCATCGCGGGATTCGGACCCAGGACATATCAGTCTTGGAAGCGAAAGCCTAGACTCTACATCACTGAGCCGGCAACCATTGGCATTATTGTATAACTTCAACTGATCCACAAAATTGAGCGACACATCCACCACTGTCTTCAGTGACTGGCTTTAAGAGGTATTTATTAGAGTTCTGATGAGAAGCAATGACCAGTGGAGTTCAACCGGGTCTGTTGTGAGATAGTAACTCACTGAAGACAATGGTGGATGTTTCGCTCAATTTCGTGGATTTGTTGGAGTTAGAAGTTAACACCGTTAGATGCCTGCTCAGTGGTCTAGAGGTTAAGCGTTTGCACGCGAGACCGATAGGTCCTGGGTTCGAATCTCGCAGGGTGGGATCGTAGGTGTGCACTGCTGAAGGATCCCACAATATAACAAAACGGTTATTAAGTGCTTCCAGGTTTTCCATGGTGGTCTAGCTTCAATTGATCATAATCTTAACTGTTAAAAAGAAAATATTCAAAATAAAGATATTTTAACATTTAATTCAAAATGAGATATGGATGTTATTTACATATTGATTATTTCATGCAATGAACAAAGAATGGTGATAGAAAACTAATTAAATTAGTTTAAAAGCAGTGAATTAGCGAATCGAAATAAAGTTATCAACACAAAGCTCATATTTTCTAGGTTGATTAATCTTAAATACAGTGTCATTTCTACTATAAAAAAACCAACATTACTAGTAATTTAAAATCTATCCAAAAATAGAAAACGTCTTTCCACTTAATCAAAATTATAGGATTAAACTAACAAAAGAAAAGACTTAATAAAAACTCTTTAAAGTGATTAAAACAATATTTGATTATCAATTAGGAAGATAACAAGAAAAGTGAAAATGACTAATTAATTTAGTGTGATTTACAGATTTTTTTTCCCTAGCATTTAAAAGGATACATACAAGCGACGTCATTGTTATAGCCAATATAGTTCCCATTGGAATAGATTTCTGAGGATTAGTCAAATCACCCGATCGATTAGAACCAGCCATGATGCCTAGATGGGAAGAAGATTTACACGAGTTTAAAAAAATAAAAGATGAAGATGTATTATTTTGAAAATGGAAATTGACTCTTAAATAAGAAAACAAATAACTATAATAAAAATATATAGTAGACCTATTGCTCTGGGCAATCATCTAAGCAAAAACGCTTTTAGAAAAAAGCAGGATACTATTTAATTTTTATGATGAGAAATGGTTCTTGCTAAAATCCCTAATGTAAAACTGAAATATAATACTACTTCATTAGTGTTGTTATTGTTGTCAAGAAATAAAATCATTGTACCGATCTTTTATCACTTTAAAAATTATTTAATGAGTGATTTAAGATCATTGACTACATAAGTACTAGAAGCTATTGTATATACTGTTATATCTTGACGAAGAATAAATGAATGGTAACTGATAAGAATTATTTATAGACTATTATTACGTACATTCTTATTGTATAACTATCAAGTGACCAGACTATATATATATATATATATATATATATATATATATATATATATATTCCTTTCATTTGACCTATCGGCTATCGCGATACGATTTATTATTCTTATCTTCTTCCCGATTTATTAGTTACAGTATTTCAAACTCACAGCCACATCTGGCTTAATCTTGTATACTTATTATTTTGCATTTTGTGGTGTGATGCGGTCTGATGTGCGTGTATATAAACTACGTATGTCTGAAATACATGATCTATACAGCGAAAGATGAGATTGTGTTCTGAACTCTGAGGGAACTTCTAGGCGATAAGAACCAATAAGAACTCGGATTTGACTCTAGACTACTTGTGATTGTTAACGCGTCATTGGTTTGGCACAAGGTCAAGGTCGTATAAGTCAGTTTTCTGATTGTCGATCTAATCATGTGATAATTTGACAGGTCACAAGAACATAACAAATGCTTAACTCTGATTGTTTATAATGTTTTGTTAGTTAGAACAGGCAGATACTGTTATTAACGTTCCTGTTTTCGGGATTCCTAATGAACAAATATGATTAAATGCTGTACTGAAGAATTCAACAAATAAATATATTGGATGTAAAATAAATTTTTTAACCTTTCAACTCTAATTTTTGTAGTGAACACAACTCAGTCAGGGGTTAATGACCAAAAGTTTTCGAATTGTCAATTGAGGGGAAGTTCTAATTAATGAAAACGTGAGTTTTAGTTTAGGGTTTAGTGGAATATTAACATTTGTAAATAAAAATAGTGGGATTAGTTATTTCACTAGTTATAATTTTTAAATTATGACTCGCTATATTGAAGTATAAGAATAACGTTGACAATGAGATTAATTTAACTAGTCAGTAACTTTCAATACGGAAAGCAAAACAACAAGTATTCTTGGTTGAGAAAGACATATAATCAATAAAAGATTTCTGTGGTTGACTTAAAATAGACTCTTACTCCGGAATATTTCTGAATGTAATTAATTGTGCTGATTCATTTCTATGATGAGTTCAATCGATATACAAGTATACAAAGAGATAACTAAAGGAGAATGATAGTTCAGTAATTCTGTTAACGGAAAATGACACGCTTCACTCAAAGTTGCTAATTTCAACTCTGTTAAAATCCTATAGATTAGTGAATGTAAACGTTATTTTATATAAAGAAGAGACTGAAATAATTTCAGGATGTTACATGGAGTTTTCTTGGACTTACTGGCTCTCGTTGCTTAGGGATTGGTGAATAGATAAACTATGGATAAGAATTACCTTTTACGATGTGTTATGGTAGAGTAAGAAATTTATTATTGGCCACAACCTAATAAAGATTTCTTTCTTAGAAACATCATTTAACATCGGTATAATTGATTAATAAGTTATAACGCTGCACCTAACACAGGCGGAATTCTTTGAGAAGTCTATTTGTCATTGACAGGTTCAAGGTACACAGGACAAGTTGTGAGTCATACGCGGAGAAATTCGAACAGCACTTCCACCTGAAGTCTGTGCTGATAACGTTATTCAGAACAACGATGAAAGCTTCACGACCAAACTGTCTAGCACCGAGAAAAAAACTCCACCTAAGCTAAACATCCTCTCTGCCATCTTAATATAATGGGAGCATTTGAACGATGAATTTGTTTTTCGTAACATGTTTCAAAAATATTATCATTTTTAACCACAATTAATTATAACAATCATAGAATCACAAACCGATAATAAATTGACTCATTTTAAGATAAAACAGTGCGATCGAATGGGATAAGGTACATTTTTAATTTTACTTATTTTTGTATGGAGATTATTACTGATTTCAACAAATGGTCCACTTACCAGTGACAGAGGGAAAGTAAATACCCAAGAGAAGCATAAAACTTGATGTAACATCTGCTATATTTGAACCTTGACCATATTTACGATCCGCCGGAAAATCAATATTATCATATGCCTTTCCCTTTTCACGGTAATGCGATTCAAAAAAGTTTTCTAAAAATGATTTTAGATAAAAAAAAGAACAATATTTTTCAACTACGATCAGAACAATAAAACAGTCTACATAAAAAAGTACTGTATAAATAGATATAGAAATACTGTTTCACAATATTGAAATCCATAAAATAAATAGAGCAGTTAATTAGTAAACATAAAATATTTACAAACATAAATCTATAGTAGAGTGGAATTCCAAGTCAAGCTATTAAGAGTGATACAGTCTTGTTCACTGCAGCATCATTGACAAACACGGTGGATCTGATTCAGATGTAAAGACGCGAATCGGCAAAGCAAAAGCAGCCAATTTACAACTACAGAACATTTGAAACTCAAAACAATTGTCAACCAACACCAAGATCAGAATTTTCAATACAAATGTCAAGACACTTCTACTGTATGGGGCGGAAACCTGGAGATCTACGAAAGCCATCATCCAGAAGATACAGGTGTTTATCAACAGTTGTCTACGCAAAATATTTTGGATCCGTTGGCCAGACACTATCAGCAATAACCTACTGTGGAAGAAAACAAATCAGATTTCAGAGGAGTAAGAAATGAGGAAGAAGCGCTAGAAGTGGATAGGACACATTGAGGAAAGCGCCCAACTGCGTCACAAGGCAAGCCCTCACATGGAATCCTGAAGGCCAACGGAAAAGAGCAATACCAGAGAATACAGTACGCCGTGAAACGGAAACAGACATGAGGAGAATAAACAACAACTGGATAGAACTAGGAAGAAAGGCCCAGGACAGAGTGTGTTGGAGAATGCTGATCGGCGGCCTATACTCCATAGAGAGTAACAGTAAAAGTAAGCAGTAAGTACGTTTCGTTCACTCCAAAAAACTTTGGATTTGCATCATTAAATCAATGTATTCACAAACGCACAGTTTTTATAATATGAATATTTTTCCATTCTTTGATTTTTTCTAGTTAGTTGGGGCAGAAATGATAATTTTCTGTTGCATGAATTTTATTACTGTATCACAAGGTAACAGTGGTTATGTTATTAGTTTATATTGTACCATATGGTATCAAATAAGCAAGTGGAAATATTGAAAAGGTTATTTACTTACTGTCTAGCTATTATTCTGGTTTCAGTTAGAACATCATGACATTTAAAGTTTGGATATACAATTAAGGGTTCAAATAGCCACACTACAATCAAACTTTATCACTGATGATATGAAATTTCCGAGTATTCTAAAAGATTTTTCTTCGTTGTTTGGGAATATGAATTAAAAAACTCTTAATAATTTATTTTATATTGCATGGAATGAGACTGCATTTTCTCTCCTTCTATATTATGCTCTTTAAAAATGTTGTCAACGTCTTATTTTTACTTCCCCCATATTCGTTTGTATTTTATGAAGATATTAAATCGCCCAGTTATTTCCAGACTATTCAACAGTTAAAGTATAAAAATTTACACTGCCCCCAGGTATATCTTGTTACTGAGAGACATACAGTACAACCATGACAAACCGTTCATTGTTTTGACAGTATCATAAGAAACTTCATCAATATAAGTTACAAGACATTATTTTCTAATCGATAAGATCGATAAGATCAGTAAACGAAATAATGAGACTAAGAAATAATGAAAATACTCATTAAAATGTATTTCATCATCGTTTAATACTGAACACGCGATATATATATATTATATAATAGAAAATCATCCACCTATTATGACTCTTTAGAACTAAAATATATTTACTTGTTGTTCTTAAAATAATTATAAGCTGAAATACGCTAAAGTAAAACTCAACAAAAATTGGAAACTTTTGAAGATCCTTGAAAATCTATGTTTTCTTAAACAATTATTTTTTTGAAAATGAGAGTTTGTGAAGGTTGTTCATTGTTATTAAAATCACAAACCTGACAAAATTAGATAACCGTTGAAAACAAGGAAACACTGAGCAGTCATTTAGTTCTATTAAGGTATAATCCATAAAATATAATTTTCAAACAAATATTGCAATTTTCTAGAAGCATATTTAAACATGAATACTGATTTTACATAGACGTAAATTTATGTCATGAACCTTGAGTACTTTGATAAATATACTGTTTGTAGATAAAACTGACAGCTTATCTTCAATGTTTCGTTGCTAAAAGTTCAACTTATTTTTAGTGTAACTCTATAATCAAGTGAAGATTTATTTACTCGTCCTTAATTTGAATCATTTATTTAAGGACTAATGACACTACTCGGCTGCTAAATCCAAACTCCGAAAAACGGGACCCAAAATAAGGAAATTGCTGGTCGAAAGTTGAACGAATTAATTATCGATCTTACTTTGAATACATTAATATATTCAATATAAATTATTCATTTACTTCTCATAAAAACGACAGATAGCTTCCTCTAATCAATCAGTTTAAATAAGTGTAATTATTGCAAGATACGTAGGCAAAATGTTGCGACAAACTCATTCACTAACTATGGTACAAATCATGACATTCTTTTTTCAATGTTTAGCAAATCACAAAATCTGTAATGCTAGTGCAGTAATGTTGTCCATTATTGAATTAAAAATATGTCTCGGTTAAATTTTATATCACAAAAATGACCAATAACATTATTGTATAGTAGTTCGTGGTAAATGTCGAAAAACAGACTTGCTACATTTTTAAATTACATAAATCTAATCAAAAGCTGATAAATATAAAAGTAAATACAATAAGTATTTATGAAATTATGCTGTTGCTAAATTTATCATTATCCTTACAGATTTAAAACTACAATCTTCCGGTCACAGAACAAGTAAAATTTTAAAGGATTATAAAAAGATGAAGTAGTGAAACTTAGTGGGGAAAAAAGCAATAACAATTTTATGAGCAATATCAAATGAGTAAAAGCTTTAAGACATGATTGTTATTTTACAGATAAGATAATAAAATAACAACATTTATTGAGTAGATAAATTGGAGAATAAAAGTAGAAAGGTGTTCTTTTTTATTAATCCATATTTTTATTTAATGAAGTAGTATGATGATATTATCTCTTCTTCTTCTTCTTCTACTACTACTACTACTACTACTACTACTACTACTACTAATAATAATAATAATAATAATAATAATAATAATAATAATAATAAGGACAATAATATAGGTCACAAAAAAGAGTAATGCAAAATTAAATCTCCAAGATTAAAGATATTTCAGTGATATATTGACAAACCTGATAATTTTTCATTATTATTAATATTATTGTTGCATTTGAACAGATTAAGATTATTAGGTCATTTAAGGTGATCTGTTCGAAAAATGATTATGGTAGTGAGTGTTAAAGAAAACAATATACTGCATCAGTTGATTAAAATTCAATAAATTTTAAAACTACTGGATTAACAAAATGAGCTTTCACTAAACAAAAACAAAGTTGGGAATATATTTACACTTTAAATCAAGCACTATTAGAAAAAAAGAACAATTGCATGTCGATCTTTTATTGAAAACAAAAAAAAACAGTCATAAACATGAACACCTAATTGCCATGAAATGATTGTTAGCAAAAACAAAAAGAAAACGAAATAAGCAACTTCATGAAACAAGTATATTCAATTTGTAGAAAAGTCTCACTAGTATTTATGAAGAATGCATCAACACTTATCTGAACTGATATAATAAATACTGTAGTGGCTAGTAATATGTCGAACCCGCATCGGTTATTCTAGCTTCTGGACAGACTAACTTATTCATTCAAGTCACACTATAACCTTGTCACTTATTTGCTTATGAATCCTGACTGTTTTCATATGATCGCACGTGTATTAATTGCATGCGCCATTTCATTACGTGTCTGGTACTTACTTTTTGCTTCAATATAAATATTGAATCACTCTTGATCGAATTGAGTTGACTCAATCGCCTACTCCACTGAGCGTCATTTTGTTTCGTTTCGCTTCTCTGACTGTCTGTTCAGATCAGCGATTGTATGAGATGTACGTATTCAAAATCCTTTCTCGTATTTGACTTATTTTATTCTCTAATGCGAATTAAGTCGATAAAAATATACGAAGATTGGTGACATGTTTATTTTGATAACAATCACTACGCGATCTAACTGAAATCAAATAAATAAACCCTTTTAAAACACTATCATCATTAATTAATTGCAATATGTTAACATCTGTTTAAATGAAATTCATGATATACTACTCGTCTGAATGTAACTGACTAATCGGTATATTATTTTATAAACTTTGTACTGGTATGATTCGACTTCATATTTGCTTAAATTCCATTGATGAATTCTTTAAATAAAATAATCCGAAATATGAAAAATAAATCTAATATTGAAATTTCATCAAATCATCACAATAAAAGTAACATAATAAGAAAAAGTTACACATATTTGATCGGTCACATCAAAACATATTGATACATATAAGCATGGAGAAGTGAAGCCAAAAGTGAATTTCTTAACATATTATAGTTATAAACATAAATAATCACTTAGATAACTTGAATACCTTGGTGAATATGTAGTACCAAAATACAAGTATAGGTATGTACAATAATATATTTGCTAATTTTCTAATCAGTAGCAGGTCAGTAAAAATCATACGAATATTAATGTGAATGCATATTTCCAACAATGTGTTAATGACACATTAACGGTAAGTATTTTCATGGATATAATTGACAAAAAACGGCAAAAAGTTTAAATTTAGTAAATGAATTGATTAAAAGTATAAAGAAAAGTAAGGATTGCAACTAATATTATAACTGTTAGATAGTTGAAATAAATTAATAGAGATTTTTCTTTCCGATTGTCATTTGTCGATACGTGATGAAGAATATCCTACTTCAGTCAAGGACCAAATTCGTATTTTCTACGCCCCTATATTTTAGACATGACATTGTTGAGCCATGCTTCATTTAAACAGAATCAAATTAGTTTAAGTCAAAGAATTCAAACTTCACTTTATTCTGCGGTTTAAAGATATCAGTCAACAATATCATTTTAAAAAAGTCAGATTGAC